TTAAATCAAAATCCTGAAGCAAACCAAGTTCAATATCGTAGCGACATCCAGCGGCCTTTACAAAAAGTTAGAATAGTAAACACAGTAAAAACACAAATATCAAAATGGAAGGAATCTATAATTTATAGCGACCACCTAACTATTGGTACATAAAACAGCACTTCCAAATATATCAGGCTGAAGCTAGTAATTAAATAGGGGTTTTCACCAAACGAATATGAGACAAGAAGAAGGGAAATGCAGATAGAACAATGAACAGAAAACAGCAGAACACCCCAACCTAAGAATCAAGTAATTATAAATGTAAATACTATTATTATAATTCACAACAAGTAGAAAAATTATACAAACTTAATGTTAAAAGATTTGAAAATTTAAAAATTTAAAGAGTTAAAAAAGGTTGTAGAGCCGTGGTGAATCCGATCATTAAGCCATAATACGTCATCACTCTTAAACGCCTCGTAAAGGTCTAGAAGTAAGCCTTTCTCAAGAAAATGAAGATACTTTGTGTCATTTTCTGGATTGAAGTTATGCTCATGAAAAAATAAGTGTCTCGCAAAATTAGATCTGAATTTATCAGGAATAATATTTTTATCAATGGCCTTATTAAATTCAGACATATGTTCTTTTATTCTCACTGAGAAACTTCTCCCAGTCTGACCAATATATTTTGCATTGTCTGTTGGACACGTCAAGCAGTAAACTCCAGATATATCTTGATGGGGTACTCGATCCTTAGAATTAACTACATAAGTGCGTAAGGAGTGTGAAGGCTTAAAGGCAACTCTCAAATCATATTGTCTTAGTAAATTTTTAATTTTTAAGGAGATGGAATCGAGGTATGGCAAAGAAACATATTTACAATCATCAGATGGAAGAGTGAAGAGATTATGGTTAAGAAATTTGTTCATATGCTTGAAATAAATTTTGTTGACAAGGGCAATGGACCTTCCTCATTTTACCTGTGCTGCGCGCGCATCTTGTGGGTGACAGATAATTAAATCGTCAATTTACTGAACACGGTCTGACCCTAACGTATTAAAGCTAACCTCAATAATCAATCAGTATCAATCAATATTGCTGAAAATTAATACAAAAACCGTTTATGATACAATGGTTCAAATGAGTTGAATGAATTCTTGTCAGAATTAGGCGAAAAAGAAGTGAAACCTTTCTTTTCACAAGTTCCCAGGCAATCAAATTGTAAGACAACAATAGTAACGTGCTCTCAACCCGAATGAAGACGATTTAAGTTGGGACAGAGATTTGAGGGTTCGTAAAATAACGATTTTTATATCAAATACAATAATAATGTACAATTAAAGGTTTGCTGCAAACATTTTTGCTGCGGTGGGTTATCTTTCTAATTAATGTTAATACGTATTTTGTCATATTTACGTTTAATAATAAACAAAAACAGAAACATAACCGAAATTGCACAATTTGACAAGTGGAACCCATCAAAGTCATTCCACACAGGTATCGCGAGTCATTATATGTGTCTTTTTCTTTATTGCAGAAATCTTAATAAACTATCCTTGTTGTTCATTGCATGAGAAAGGTCCATTGGATAACCATTATTGGCACCGATCTGTTTAATTATGTTCAGTTCTTTATTGAAATTGTCGGTATTCATTGGCACAGAAAAGAGTCTATGGAAAAAACTATGAAAAGCAGCTAATTTGTGAGAAAATGGATGATTAGACTGAAAAGGTATTATATTGTCTGTAGATACTAGTAGGTTTGTGGTATATTGAAAAAGAAATACTTTTGTTATATTTGGTAAGCATTTAGGTCTAGGAGTCATTCACCTCTAGTTCCATAGTAAAAGAGAGTGAAGGGTGGATGGTATTTAGAAAATCTAGGAAGTTTGACAATTTCAGATCTGAACCGTCAAAGACAGCAAAGATGTCATCAACGTAACTCCTCAAAAACAAAACTTTGGAAAAAAGAACACCATTTTGGATTAAGGACTCAATTTTGGACATAAAAATTTCTGCCAGGAGAGGTGAAAGACTGGAACCCATTGCTAAACCATTGTTTTGAGTATAATATTTATTATTAAATTGAAAAAAATTTTGGTCAGTAACTAGCATTACCAATGAACAAAGGTTATCAATGTGGTTGAGTGGCAAAACTGAGTGGCTCATTGATAAATTTTTGACAAGAGTGACACTCTCAGAAGGTGGAATGCTGGGAAACAGATTGGAAACATCAAAAGAGACCAGTTTAGCAGTGAGAGGTATATTTAGATTTTTAATGTCTGAAATAAGTTGTAGGGAATTTTTTATGGCAAACTTTTGAAATCAGTTAAAGATGGATTAAAGGAGTTCAACCAAGAAGACAGTTTATGGCAAGGGGAATTTATGTAGCTTACAACAGGTCTTATAGATATTTTTGCTTTGTGGATCTTAGGCAAACCATATAATCTTGGTGTGTTGTATAGGGCCGGTTTCTCGATAGCAAATCACTTCCAGGTTAGTTTCAACTCCAGGGTACACGTGTCCAGTTGCTATGTTTACCCTGGAGTTATATTTAACCCGGGGGTGACCTGCTATTGAGAAACCGGCATCTAGGGGATTACAATCAACAACATACGTATTCTCTTCTTCTGTGTTTTCAACCAGGAATTTGGAATGGCCCCTTCATTCCAAAACAAGTGATGGAATGGAACTAATCTAATTAAGAACTTTTTCGGTATAGAATTCTGTAGTAGTCGTAAAAAAAGGAATTTCCATTTACTGCTACAAGTGGCTAACCTACTTTCACTATTCTGTTGGCTAAGTCTGCGGAAACACTAAGGTAGACACGCTTTTTAGCTCTGATCCTCCAGCCTTTTATATCAGTTAAGGTTGAAGTTCGCGATTGTGCGGTTTACTTGCCGTAATTCGGTCAAAATGAATAGAGGGATGGTAAATACACTGCTAGTGAACAAGCACGTGAAGTGGCATTAAAAATAGTTGCGACTGCAATGAATATGAAATATTTAAGTCCAACACTTATAGTGTGATCCTTTGCACACCCAAACATTCTTATTATCATTTTCTTTTCGGTATTGTATTTGTGTACGACATACAAATCGCCTTCTTTCATCATTCTGTCCCTTTTTAGCACTGCGAATGTCATGATTTCTGCTTTTTTTTTCGGTGTTTACATCTTTCTACTATAGTTTTATTCAATGACGCTTATTTATACAACCTAAGGTTATGTTTTCGAGAACTTGCTCACTAAAGTTGAGTTGCCGTTCGAGATTTAGTGAGTGCCGATTGAATTTTTGTTGCCTTATCCCTAATGTAACCCACCCTCCCTGAGCAGCAGGTGTTTTCTGGCTCGTCTACACTACTTACTAAACTTCGACTGGTATTTTGAATTGATTACCCCTCTTTTCCACCGAAAGAGCGAAGTAAATTTACGGCATGCAGCTTTGTTTTTAGTTAGTTAGTCTTCATATTATAATGCCGCATTTACTGAAGAAATCTCATAATTTTATTGACAATGATATGCAGCTATTTAAATTTCTTGGTTTCACCAAACCATTTTAATTTCTATATTTTGTTATGTAACGAAAAATTATAACCTTGGAATGTTTTCCAACTCATTTTAATGCAGCTCGCAGGCCATTTCCAGTAAACTTTGCACATTCACATTCTCTGGATAAAAATATAGTTTTTCAAAATGTCGAGAAGTATATTTGCCAAGTCTTCCGGCAAAACCAGAACTATAACGACTTTATTTATAGGATCACATTTTTCATAGAGTAGGTAACGTATTATGTGCAACGATTTCTTTTGTTGAACTTTATTCAATTGAAATGTATTTATTGTTGACAAATAAAAATATTCTCGAAGATGAATTATATACATAAAATGAATTTTAGGATCCACTCAATTACAAAAATATTTAAGGCAATATGTTCATGTAATTTGTTTCTAACTTTTAACTTCCAGGGAAGTGCTTTCAAAACTCCTCCATTGAGTGCATAATTTTAATCTATATATATAAACGTGAAATTCACTCACTCACTGACTGACTGATTAAACACGAAATCTCGAAAACTACTAAACCAATCGAGATGAAATTTTGCAAACAGGTAGGTAATAGGTTGGAGATGCTCACTAAGAAATGATATCAACATGGCCTTAAGCAATCGCCTCAAATAACCAAAAATAAGAAACGGTGTGGTGCGAGGAAAAAAGTGTAAACAGAAACAGACGACGTGTCAGCTGTCAAATTCAGAAATATGACAAGCAGAATCAAATTCATAGCGATTTCCATTTGCAGAATCAGTGCAAAAAAATGTGTTTTTGTCGTTATATTTTCATGCTTTCACCAGAAACGTTTCGGAACCGATTCTGAACAAATTCCACCGGTCCCAGGCCAAGCTAACTTCAAGTTTAAGACATGACATTCGCAATTCGTTCACGTATTCGACAGTCTGGAGCAAGGTTCTGGAGTTTTTGTTCGGTTCTAAAACTGTTCGCGATAAAATAGGAACCTGAACCCATTCACAAGTTGGGTTCGGGTTGCTCACTCCGAGTTACTCCGATCGCACTCCAGCCGTTATCTGATAAGCTAAAAGGTAATACCCGAACGGCTGAAGTGCGAACGGAATCACTCGGAGTGCACGGAGTAAGCAAGCTGAACCCAGCTATAACTGGGCATGCGCTCTACGATATTCCTCAATTAGTTCCGGACTGGTTCGGAATCGGTTCAAAATATGATCCGCGAACAAAGCTATTAGCAGCGAGTGGCACTTCAAAAAAATTTAACGTCAGCTGTCAAAAAATAGTCTGCATATTCTGCAGCCACAAAGCAGAACAAAAAATGTGGTAGAGAGGTGCTGCAAAACAAGAGTTACATGACCATATGTCTGACGCAACTATCCCCTTAGCTCTTTGAAAGAAGATTACCTAATGCTACCTACAAAATTTGTATAGGGCGTGCGAAGCCGCGGGCAACAGCTAGTACAATAATAAATTAAGTAACTGGGTATTACTTACCAATTTCAACCAGATGTTTGTTATAAGGAGTTGATTTTTCTCATCCTGAAATAAAAAGAAAAATGTTTTTAATGTTTTAAATTATTATCTGAAACTGTATGTCATTGCCGGTTATTTAAATTGGCTGAGTCCTCATAAAATAATAAACATCATAGAGCAAATTAATAAGCAATTTTGGGAATAAAGTCCTCATGAGAAAAGTCTCAATCCGCATATTAATTTATATTGTATCTTGTTGATACTTTCTATCATTGAGTGTAGGTTGTTAATAAGACCAGAACTGAAATGTTGCAGAATAATAAATTCTAATGTGAGCATTAATCTTTCCAACTTATGGTAACTATCGATTTTTCTCTTGGGACATAAATTCACACAAGAAAATTTTATAGTTTTCCTTAAGGTATGATTTGGGAAAAACTGACAGCAGTTATTCACACTCCAGAAAAGCAGGAAAAATATAGTACTTATCTATAAAAACATCCATGCATAATTGAATCATAACTGACAATTTTCACCAAAGTAAAACGAATATCGAACTTTTAGAATAGACGATTTGAATTTCCCGAACTAATACCCAAAAGAAAAGGATGGAATTAAAACCAATCTTCAATAAATTAGGTTACACTGTTTGGCTTTGAATATTAAATTGTATCACTTGACGTTATTTATTGCCATAGAAAACATATTGGGTTTGGGTAACTTGAATGTTCCGTCAAAAGTATGCAAATTGGAAATTACAGCTATTTTATTCCGGAAGGTAAGTTGCATTGAAATTTCGCTATATTTTAGGAATTTGAATACGGAAGATGAGCTCGAGATACCAGCATTATTTTCGTTATTTTACAGCGAATCAGTTTTAAAACTATTCAACTAGAATTTTAACATATAACATAGTAACGAATAGTATGATAGCAATAATTGCACCGGTTATATTATTTTCAGGCCTTGCTTGGGTATTTAGATCCAAATAAGTACAATTTACAAAGTTATAACTGGATTCGTATTAAAAATAAAAATATTTTCAAAAAACCAAGATGTCAAAATATACTTGGCGCAGTAGGTAGAATACGCAAAAGTGTATTCTGAATTTAGACGTCACTTATTTTTTGATAAGAGAGATTACAGTTACAGCATCGAGCTTGTATGTAGTTCCTCCTTCCTAATACATTTTGTGATTAGTGTTCCATGGTTAAGCTTTTTGGATTTTTGATCTTTTGCAAGTTCTAAATAATTTGTTGGGTATACTAAAATCAGCATCGAGCTTTAAGTAATTCCTCCATCCTGATACATTTTGTGGAGAGCTCAAACACAGGGGCCCGCATTGCGGGAACGAGCGCGGCAAACGTTTCCCAGCTCTCACCCTACACCCAGGCTTATCCCAGTCTGAACACCCCCAACTCCACCTCCTCCACCTCCCCGCCACACTTTCCCCCACGAAGCTATTAGGTCACGAGGGCTAGGAGAATCGCTGCTTTTTGAAAAGTAACCAACCTAAAAAAAATTATGGACAATTAAGCGCAGGCAAAATAAGTTTACGGTGCAGGGGAAAGATATCCCAGTGCCGGTCAAAAACACTGGTGGAAGTGCAAGCCAGCCCCCGCACCGTCAACATTTTCACGTTTCCTAGACCGTGAACGCTACTGGTTGCGCTGACGAGTTAGGAAATGTACTGCGCACCAAATACTCCGTTCTCTAGACAGTGGGCGCAACACCACGTGCCTTATTATTGTGCGCGTTTTTCTTTGCATGCTGTGATAGTTGTGATATTTATTCATCTGCTATGTCTGAGTCGTCCATCAGCATATTAAAGGCGTATATTTTATTTGTGTTGTGAAAGTAGGCTTGTCAATATGAATCAAGGCAGAGAAGAAACTGTAATAGAAACAATAAAACGTTTGATTGTAATATCAGAACAATAACCATCGAGTAATCCAAAGTTATTCTGAGAACCAACTTCGAAGGAGATATAGATATGTATAAAATTATATCAAAAATTTTTCCAAAGCTACTTGCACAGAATGGATTGTATATAGAACGTATCCAAAAATAAAAAGCTATAGTATCGAAAGGATTGGGTTTGTCAGCACAATGCTAAAAATTAAGAAGGAAAAATAAACAGTGTTAGAGAAAGAAGCTGGAACTGCGGCGCCAAAATCTTTATCAAGGTTGAACATGGAATTAGTCTCACTGGGACCCTAACTGGGTACCCGGAGAACATGGAACAGGGGGGCTAGCGACTGACCCAAGGTTTTATTGAATTCGGAAAAGGGGGGTTAGCGGCTGACCGGGTACGTGATTTGTAAAAAAAAATGTGAAAAAATCCAGTAATTTACTCAAAACTAATTTTCAAAGTAGTTATGTATTTATTTTGAAGTCCTCTATACCTTGAGCGATTACCCATATCAATTTGACACGACTCCTTGCCTAAACATTTTATAGAAGAACTTTTCTCCTAGATTTTTGTTTTGGATAATCTCTTGCTAGTTCCCGTTAGCTTTCAGGAAAAGAATGTAGGAGTTATAGGCAACTAATATATCAATCAAATTGAAAAAACCGCCATAAACATCTAATCCGGTCAAAATACTACTAAAAATAGTAGTGAAGTTACAAAAATTCCCATAGAGCCGAAAATTGGTATGAATATTCGGAACACATAAATGAATGTTGAAAAGTCCCCATCGATCCCGTACCTGAAATTTTGTTTATTCAAGGTCAAGGCCTATTCCACGGTCCATCGTGAACCTGTTTGATTTAAAAGTATTGGATAATAGAAAATAATAGTATTGGAAATGATGAAAGCTGTATAAATAAATAAAATTATTTTTTTGTGTCCTGAGGATGACCTTAGTCGAAACGTGGACAAATATATATTTTTCATCTCCATGGCTGTTTTATTGACCTGAGTCCAACTTCTAAAAAGTAATCAAATAAAAAGCATGTCAGGTCAAAAGGAAGACGGTGAAACTGAATTTTTGGAATATCTGAAAAATCGGAAATCTGTGATGTGACAATACATGTGCAGTGTGTGGGTATACTATCAAGTTCAAGTGTGGCTTGGTTATCAACTAGATCCAAAAGACTGTGGTTGGAAGTTGATCGACAGACGACAATACATTGGAACCAGTCCAAACTTTATTCTCATTTGCGCCGGAAAAACTGCTCAACACAATTTTTTGCAAATTGTAAAAGGGGATGTAGTGCTAAATGCAACTGCAAAAAAGTTGGATTATTTCGTTCTCTTGCATGCACTAGTTGTCATGGCCAGTCGTGCTCCGATGTTGAATCATCAACAGAAGAGGATTCGTATGATATCAACGAGGAGACATGTGATGCATCGCTATTGAGGTAATTTACTTGCACCCGCAAGAAGAACAAGAACAAGATGAAGAGGAAGCAGAAGTATTAGACAATTATGAATCTAACGAATAATTTTCCCCAATTTTTTAAAATGTAGGTATACCGCTTTCATCACTCCCAAGACTATTATTTTTTATTGTTCAATATTTATAAGTTGAACAGGATCATAATAGAACGCGGAATAGCGCTTTAGTACACTACTTCATAGGTGTCATGGAAACGTGTGCATATTATAAAGATTACATCTTTTTCAACTTTTAGAATCGTTATATTTCATAATCGAGGACTTTTAGGAAAAAAAGTATTGAGACATTTTTTATAGATAAATATGATCTACAATTTTTATCCGACCCAATTTTATGAAATAATAAAACTTACCGTTTTGCTGAAAAACGCGAAAAACCTATTATTCAAACCATTGACCTTGAATTAAAAAAAATCCAGGTACCGGATCGATGGGGACTTTTTAGAATTTATTTATAATGGTGTTCCGAACATTCATACCAATTTTCAGCTCTATGGGAATTTTTGTACCCTTGCATGTTTAAATTGACCGGAGTAATCTGGCGAAGGTCAAAGATTTTAGTCCCCAGTACATCGACCCTGAAATTTTGTAACTCATGTACACGCCCAACTTCCTGAGCGGCCTCATAACGCCAAGTCGGACAATATTTTTCATGTCTCCACCCTGGGCGATGGGACATTGCTGCGCTAGCTCTTCGTGAAGTTGTCGTTCTGACGTCCCTAACGAAGTTGATACATGTACGTGTAGTTTCAATGCCAATCGACTGTTTTTTACATCACCTACAATAACGATATCACATTTGTCGGACAAAAACCATGTGGCTTTGGGGAAGGTCCGACACCCCCAACATGTCGCTATGGCGTCCCTAAGGAAGTTGATACATGTACGTGTAGTTTAATGCCAATCGACTGTTTTTTGTATTACATTAACGATATCATATATGTCGGACAAAAATCACGTGGCTTCGGGGGGGTCCGACGCTCTCAACATGTCGCTGAGGCGTCCCTAAGGAAGTTGATATATGTACGTATGTTTTTAATACCAATCGACAGTTTTTTACATTACATTAACGATATCACATTTGTCGGAAAAGAAAATTGAGACAATCAATGAAAAAATTAAAATTAGTTTGCCTTAATGCAACGTGCATATTAGTCAGTTTATTATTTACCTACTTTGTCAAATACCTGTGGGGCCCTGTGTCATATTCCCTGATCTGTTTTCTTGATAGTTCTCCGAGTATTTACGAACATTATTTAGTGAACGGTCATTCAAAACCACGCGTGTGGGAAAGAATGGATATTCAGTCGTGTTTTTTGTACAATCTCAGGAGTGACGATCCTGAATTTCGGCAGAAGTTGATCAAAAGGACTTTTGTTGTCCGACTGACTTTAATACTCATTTTATTTGTCCGACATTTACTACACATGCTTTAAAATTACATTGTTATTCATAATTATTTTTGTCGGACAGACATGTATCAACTTCCTTAGGGACGCCACAGCGACATGTTGGGGGCGTTGGACCCCCCCAAAGCCACGTGATTTTTGTCCGACCTAAGTGATATCAATAATTTAACATAGAAAACAGTCGATTGGCATCCAAACCTCACGTACATGTATCAACTTCCTCAGGGACGCCACAGCGACATGTTGAAGGCGTC